GGGGGGGGGGGGGGGGGGGGGGGGGGGGGGGGGGGGGGGGGGGGGGGCAGGGGAACGGAATAGCGTTAAAACGATGTCAAGCACGTGGACAAACAAGAACGGGTGGCGTCCCATTCCGGAGCACGACGGCGTCACCCCCACGTATACCTGTAAACGAATGGATCGCTTCTTCCTCCATGCCCTTCCTCGTCTATCCTCTGTCTCAATCATCAATAATGTCATATCCCATTCGACTGTGGGAAATCCTCGAATGGGTACTGAGTCTTTCTGTGTGTGTATTTATTTTTCCTGAATACTATGCTCTCACCTCAACGAGCGACTTGGGGATGTAGTCCTTGGCGCTCTCGTCCCAAAAGTACCACGAGAACTCCGTCGGGAAGCGGTAGTAGCCCCTGAGTCTCGTGATGTACCCCGTGAAGGTGCTGCGCCACGTCCCGATGAACGTCCTGCCATGGCGTGCAGGGAGGAGCGGGGGCGACGTGACGGCACAGTTGAAGGAATCCGGGGCCGGCGGTCGAGCGGACCGTCAAGCTCGTGGTGAGATATATAGGTCGTGATGGCGCGTGCGGCATGCGTGTGTATCGATGGATGTTCTTAGGAAATACATGTACATGAACGAAAGACTGCCCTTTCGAGATACTGCTGTATTACCACAGCAGTAGTCGAAGGATGGGTTGAAGTCTTCGCAGCAATGCATTGCTACGCCGCGCAGGACCAAAAAAAGTTTGGCACTGCGACGAAAAACTCACCTCCCCTGCGATGCCACGATGGTGTCGATCATGAGGTAGTAGGACGGGTCGATGCCGTCGAGGACGTCCTGGAAGTCGTCTAGGTAGAACACTCTGGTGGGGGGATGGATGGCAGCAGTAGAGGAGGAAAAAGTGTTGTAGAAAACACACACACAAACAAGCATGCATGATACAACGCTAACCTTCTTGGCGTAGGTATCGTCGGGTGGTTGGCGTTTCCTATCGGATGGGTACAGCTGGCGCCAACAAAGAAAGCAAGACGCGTTGTGCTTCTCTCGAGAAGTCGGATGACACCAAGAAGCGTGGGACGATGGCAAGCCAGACAAATTCAACTACTGCCGTTAGCCGCGACACAAAGCTGACAGTGGAAAGGTTCTGACACTGAAGGCGTGACAGCTGTGTGTGTGTGTGTGTTTGTGTGTGTGCGCGCACAAAGTCGCGAAATAACAAAAGAGGCTACAATGAGCAAGGGGTGGGATCGTGGCAGCCAACATTCCTCCCGGTTGGTGTTGTTCTAGTCTCGCTTCCGCGTCATCCAAGCACGTTGCAACACAACGAAAAGCAAGAATAACACATGCTGACGCACGAACGTACGGCGGTGCCGACACACGTCCGCATTGCATACGTCACAGACGCTGCCTCGGAGACCGGCCTCAACGAAGACGACGACGACGACGACGACGACGACGACGCCAAACGAACGTACGTACGTACCGGTGTTCGTACGTAAAGACATCGAAGAACTCCTTCTTCCGCTCGTCCGTGGCGATGAACAGCACCTCCCCCGGCTGTATGAGGTCTTTCGTCGCCGCGGCGATCGTCTCCGCCGGCGGTTTCATCTTGGGAACACCACAACAACAAAGCCATGCAACAACGCTCTGCTTAGCAACCACGCATGGGAGTGGAACGAAATAGAGCACAACAGAGTAGAGCACAGCACAGTGCAGCACAAAACAAAACCCCTGGCAAGCACATACGGAATATCCAATTACTCATCCACGGTACATAAGGTCGGGAGAACATCCAACAAAGGACTCCCCAAAGAGTGAGTGGATGCCAGAGAGAATGTGACGTACACTAACTTATTTTTTCGCGGAGCTAGGAATTTTGTGGGCTTGTCGCCATCAGTTTTCGGGGAATATCAACCGTACGACGCGTTTAACTTAGCCAAAGCATCGTTCTACCGCCCCCCCCCCCCCCCCCCCCCCCCCCCCCCCCCCCCCC